AAGCATTGTTGGTTTAGCTGTATCTACTTGCAAGTGCTGCCTCAGATATGATACAACTTAGGCATAGGGATTATGAAATGGAGATTGATGAGATTTTGAGTGAGAAGGAGATGTACAGCAAAAGATAAAGGGGCAAAGTGAAAGGTTTTAAATAGATCAATGATACACAAAATGAAGACAATGTAGAGAGTTGCAGAGTAGGCTTTTGTCCCCAATCTGCATCCTCTGTAAGGTGTTTTGCTATTTTCATTCATGCTTTTTTCCTGTCCTACTTGTTTTGCTTTGACAAGTCAGTACCTTCCAAAGCACATCTGCAATGTTTTGTTTTTTTTTCTACCTCTTCCTTTTCCGTTCAACTATGCCTAGACAGCAACCCATTACATTGTTTTCATTTTGAAAAATAGCAAAACTGCTTACAGAGGGTGAGGTATTTGAACAGCACAAACCAGGATTTACTTGGAAGAAAGCGTTATAGTAAGCTAAGCCCAGAAATAGGCAAAGCGGGAAGAGATAGCTTCAAAAGGCTGGGGGTTTCGTGGAGGTAATGGAAAAAATTAGGAAACGGATAAGGTCTTGTAGGACCGGTTAATAATTATAATACATATGGGAAAAGGTTTATGTATCTAAGACCAGAAAAAAGCACTGCGGTCAAAGATAGGATTATGACTCTAGGGGTTTGTGACGGCAATGGAAAAAAATTAGAAAACAGATAAGGTCTCTGAGGACCGATATAAGAATACATATGCCCAAAAAAGAAACACAGAGGTCAGAAATAGTTTTAGTGACCTGCAGGTTTTGTGACACAAATGTGAATAATTTAGGAAGCAAATAAGGTCTTCTGGTAGCGGGAGGGGAAAAATTTTATGACAAGGTATATAGGCTGGGTGGAAAATGCAGCAACACAAGACAAGATGAGACAAAAATAGTAAAAAAATGTTCAAGCTGCAAATAACGACATGTTTCTTGATTTGGGTGACCACCCAAGGAAAGAGCACGTTGCTGAGGTTTACGAAGAATGATTAGCCACAAGGGCAAAGCGTGCAAAAATTCAAGACAAAAATAGGAAAATGGGTGGCGGAAGATTGGGTATGCTAAAGGTAATGATTAAAAGAGAACAAAGTTTTTGAGTGCAAGACAAAGACAAAAGAGACACACTGAGACAAAAAAAATCAAAAACATATAAAGAGAGGGTCTGAAGAGGTCTGAAGGGAAGAAAAGCGGCGAAACAAGGTCAGGAAGAGAATGAATGTCTCTTCCATCATTGCTATCTGCAATACTTGTTTAAGGTGGCATGGTTTGTGGTTTAAAGTTAAACCTTTTAATTAGACACTTATATAATGGCAGCAAAGCCACCCTTAGACTCTAGTATAACCTCAAGCCACATACCTGAGCTTAGTTCCTTCAATCCTGACTGGCACAATCTTTTTTTATATACTCTCTCTTCCCTTAAGATAAGACTCAACAAACTTCTTCATATTGAACTATTTGTTCTAATGACGTCATTCTTATCCTTTAAGCATATTCATGATTCCTTACACACACAAAAGTACCGGTTGAGTTGTTGAAACCTAATTGATCTTGAAGTTCTCTGAGTTTGCTTGCATGTACCGTTCTCTCTCTTTTCTCTTCTTCAATCAAATTGTTTCTTCAAACTCGGTTCGCTAAAAGATCAAACCTATCTTTACAGGTTAGTTATCATTTTCATTCAACCTTTGTTAACCTTTCTTACAACTCTTTTATCATTTCCTTAGGTTTGCTCTTTTGTTCATCATCGGTCATATCAATCATCCTTGTGATCCTGAATATCACCTTATTCTCAAAGGTTTGCTCTTTTGTTCATCATC